TTATACAGGGTAATGCACCGAAACCTGCCGTTTGATTGATTGAAAAACATTGATTTTAAAAGGATTCATTCAACAGGAAGTAGTTGATTTTTTCATGTATCTTTCATTTTTTTAATCACACTGTAAATTTTAATGGTATATAACCTTGAAATGAATCATCTGAGTATTACGTAATACTTAAATTGTTACAATCCTAAGAACATACAAATGTACATGTTCACTAGTGATGTTCACCCTGTAACATGTTCTGTAAGATTTCAGAACTGAAACCACACGAAGTATCGTGCTGTTTCACTATTTCTTTAATATATATACGATCGTTACCAAAGACAGATTTATGTACACTACCCTGTGAATATATCAGTGCATTTAGTTTGGAAACGGTAATCTTACTGCAACACATGATTAATATGTTTTCTTTAATTAACGTGATATCATGGATACCATATATCTTTCGTCGATTTGTAATTATCAATAACGATTAACCGTGGAAATTGTTTCCACGCACATATTTCATTTTTCTCTTCATGAAACATACAAAAAATTATTAGCACGATGTCTAAGCTCGAACTTTTCATATCGCCGTGGATCACAAAACACATTTACAATTTTCACAATTCTTTGCTTCGACAGATTACAAGTGCTGGCGTGAGGGTGACACTAAACACAGACACTTGAAAACTTGCTGTTTGTACTACAATGATCATGACGAATTGGAAAGTCTGCCATTCACTTAACTAAACCGCCCTCAAACACGATGGGTTACACAAGGGTCATTTCATGTTCCTTAGTAGTATGATAGTATGTAAAAAAGTTTGGATTTTTATCAACGTCGAGTGATCACGAGGACGGAACAGTCGATATCAGAATCTTTCTTTTTTCGGCGCGTAAAGTGAGCACAGCTTGCATTAAGCTTTTTCCGAATACCGTACACGTCATTGGAACATCGTTAAGAAAGAAAAGTCCTACGTATATTCTCTCGACCGATTGAAGTTTGTGTAAAGATCCGCCTCGACCACGCTCGACATCGATGTCAATGACATAAAAACGAGTTAACGACAATTTTTTACAATGAATATGATGTGTACATGTATAAGAAGTATGCGCAGATAATCCCCTCCTTTCGTAATTTCATGATCCCTGCCTGTACATCGTTCTTTCCTCAAAATAAATACACAATTTACAATAACAATTCTCGGAAGGTCATCAAAGCTTATAAAATAGTACGAATATAGTTTTCATCATCAAGGATAAGTTCAATCTACTATAAATATTGGTTGCTCTAGAGGATTATAACGTGCATTGTAAGGAACGGTTCGAGGCCGTTCGTCGTCGTGTTTTTAAAACGGGGGTGGGGGAGAGGGGGGTTACGTGAGGGGGAGGGGGTGGCGGCTGCCCGTATATTAGTACATCATTTATAACCTACGTTATTAATCCTAAAATCATATCTACCGACACCAGCTGAAACCGGGGTCGGTACGCATGAAGCAAGAAAGATAAACCTCTTTTTAATGTATTTGGGAAATAGCACACGATTTGCAAGTGAGATGTACAATACGAATGAACGATGAACGAATAAAAGGAAATTAGGGAACGATGATTGCTTTAATCGGTAATTACCGATCACTGAAACGATTCGGAATTCTTATTTACAGAATCAGCCTTATTTATACTTGTACATAGGGGAAATGGAACTAATATATACATATACATATACATATACATATATACATATATATATATATATATATATATATAGATCTATTATTCGCAGCTGTTGGAAAATGCTAATGACTATGCGAAACAATGAGCTTACACACGTACGGGAAGTGCGGCCTACGACGTGGCATTCTGTGACCGTCATTTTTATTTAGGCAGCTGAGGTAGTGGTTTCTGAAGACAACACAGCGTCACATAACACAGAAGATTCGTGGGCGATTAATGAGCTGGTTCAAGAAGGCTACCAGGTAGCTAAACTTGACCCGATGATCGTGTACCGGAATAATAATTAGCTGTAATTATTATGCATACAATGGGGAAATTGGTACAGAAAACATATAAGACGCAGAAGTTGCTTTGGAAGAAGGGATATTCAACCTGTTTTCAATAGGAACTGAAGAGATCGTCTGGCATGGTCAACATTAATCCATAAGATCTCTCCACTTGGGAATCGACTATATAGAAATAGATTCAAGTACCAGTAAAACCAGAAATGTGTTTCCGGCCTGTCCTAAATTTTCAGCTTTAATAATATTATGTAAATTGCTAGTTGGTTGGAGCAACTATAAGTGTAAACATTGTTATCCTTTTTGGATACACGCCTCTATAGGCACACAAGAAAGTCAACTCAATTTGTAATATGGCTCTGATGATGACAGTTTGTGAGATTTAATGTGGATCGTTGCATCTGAACTCCGGATCCGAATTTCACATGAAATCCGACCTGTTGTTCAGAATAGCAATCATAACTATTTGTTCTTTTCAAATAAAATGTATTGAGTGCACCTAAGTGGATGGTACTGTATGATAGAATGTAAGCTGGGTCAATAACTGACCTGTAACGTCTACAAGTTCTGAATAGATGGGAGGGACACAATGGTCATGGTGACCAACCTGTCGTGTTATCTACTACAGAAGCTGAAATCAACCTATTTGATTTAATACAGAAAGTCCTAGAAAGGAAACTATGCAACCTGGGGTACTACGCAATTCTTGGATGTATAACGGCAGGTAGTATCGAATACTATTTGCTACATTTGGTACGAACAACGTAAGAAGATCCGAGGAACTTAAAGTAAAGTGGTCGACATCAAAATCGGTTGAAGCTATGCAATAAAATCATTTTTACCATGCCGAAAGCCGTAACAGATTATCAGCCGAGTCTGTAGACCGGCTAATGGCTATTGATCAAAACTCGAACGCAAAGTTGGACTTGGTGATGTTGTTTACCTTTCCCTGGGGGAGTGTTTTGTATCTGAAGAAAGAATGCTAATGATAATGCGAAACAATGACCTTATTCATAGATGTTATACAAATTTCTACTGAATACGCGTTTATAATTGTTTTGTGCGCAGCATTTCATCCTATATATTTTACTATTTTTTCTATTCGGAATCATAGATTCATTCGCTTGATTATGCTTATTCATGCTTTTGTCAACTCGTAGCTCGAAACGTGATCGACCTATGGGCTATTATATTTACCAACAATTGCGCATCGGGTAATCGCGGAAATTATTATGCTACTCCGATCAATAGACACTAAAGCTTAACTATAATTAAATAAAGTAAATATAAAGTAACATAATATTGGGTGGATAACGAGGCCAGTAAAGTCTAAAAATTTGCCATAACAGAACGATTATAAACGTGAAATATAACATTTATGCGCATGATTAAATCGATAATATCGATCTCACATAGTGAAGAAATTCGATAAATTTTGTTTATATTACTATTTCTTGAGAAAGTAAAAAATTTGTAAAAATAACAAATTGATTTGTATAATATGCTTGAAAGTGCATGTGTATGTTACAAACAGTGCATACATAGATACATATAGGGAAATTAACAATCCACACGATTAAGATTGAATTTCTTATTTTCAAGAGAAAGAAATTGATAATATACTTAAGGCTCGAGACATTTACAGGTTCATTGTTACCGTATTCGTGTAACAGCGATAGAAATCAGATACGATCACGTACCTAATATTTCTTTTTATATTATGTTTCTTTTTTCAAAGTATCTCTCTTTCGTTCAAGATAAATTTTGTACTGCCAATTTGCTCTTACTAGGAAGACACAAATTGAATTTTAATGGCGTTAGATTTTTCTCTCGCGGTAGTCAACATCCTAAATCAATAGGATGTTTCAACAGAACTGGTGCTGTATCCATCCGATATACATATTATATGCTTATATACCGTGGTTTATTTGACATGGGAATAGTTTACGTTTCTCACCATGCAACGGCCTAGTAAAACGGTCCTGAAATTTCAACGAATAGCGTGGCTATTTTTAAATCGACTCCACACTATTTACAAGTTAGCTATCATAAACTTTAAAAATTGCGCAACATTGGACCTCCGAATATTTTATTTTAATAATTCACGCAGCCGTCATTTACAATACGATTCGCGTCTGTAACTCATGTAAATAGTTACCGAAATAGAGTGTCTCAGGTATGCGCTTCAATATCTCAAGCGCTAGCAAGGAAGCTCAAACGAAACAGAAAATGTGCTTTGATACTGTGTCCGATTTGCTTTCATTTAGCAGACATAAAGACTTAGAGTTAGAATCTCCTTTCCACGCGAGGTTTAGCTGACGTATGTCGATGAGAGCAACGCATTCAAATAGATCGTTGGCCTAGACCAGGAGCGGCCAACTCGTTGCCCGTCGGGCAGCATTTTTCCTGCCTGTGAGCGACGAAAGTTGGGAGGCGCTACGCAAGGCCTTAGAGCCGTATGGCCATAGAGTGGGGAAACTGCTCGCGATGTCGCTCGTGGCTTTTCCCGTGAGCGATCGTGAGCGCTCTTGCTCACCACAGTCCAATTGGCCACCCCTGGCCTAAACATTTCAGCTGTTCAAGAAAGTGGTGTGTGCCTTGGGCCACCCTACAATCTCACAGGCACTACATCTGCAAATGTAGTGAACAGATAAGGTTACCGTCTTGTAGTAAACCATGTGTTTACTACATTTGGAACAGCTGATTACGATAGAGCACTTTGTGGCTCGTACTGTATCTATGTATGTAAACTCAGTTCATGTCTACAAACATCTTGGATTTATCAAGTTCTGTAGCAACAAAACTATAGGAGATACAACAAAATGTACCAAGACTATTTTGTTGTATTTTTGCTCACTGATAAATTTGTAAAATTACAGTATCTTATGATTATTAGTATAACATAAACAGATGAAAATGTTTCAAACCATTAAGGCTTTATTGCTGAAAAATTGTATCAAATCGGACATGGAAGTATATTTTTTTGTTCTATTTCAGCTATCATCCCTTAAAAGATTGAAACGAACATCTGTGACACCCTGTATATGATCGTTCGTTCCTTCGCTAAACATCGGGTTAGATAGAGCGTCTATAATTCGGTTTATAAAGAGTCAACGTATCTACAGCATAGACTTTACGTGCTGATTATTCCATATACTCTTTATTAACGGCACTGTTCCCCTTCCTTCAGCACGAAGAAATTGAAATTTCATTGATCGACGAAACGATTTTACTCTATTCGTCTTAGATAAACACTGTTATCTCTTCCTTAACGAGTAGCAAACTGATGCAAGTCGACACTGTTATACTGTTGCCGATTGTCAATGTGTAACTAACAGTCATTTCTTCATTTACCACGTTATCACTGGTATTTTAAAGAGGAATGAGTTACATTACACTTCACTGGAATATTCAGTTTCAGTTTTACTTCTGGTTCACTGATTTGCTGACTCGTACTTCACACGAAGCGGTTCTTGTAATATGCTTGACATGGATCTTGACGCTTGTTTGTAAGTCTCATACTTTACATATTTTTAAATATTTTTCTACACACCAATATTGTGCTTAATGTTAATCTGCATCTTGTAGTGATCTTGCTGTAGCGTTTCAAGTATTTTTTTTTGCATTTTATGTTCGGCCTGTAATATAATGTAATGTTATTTTATGTCTGTACAAGTGTAACTTGTTATCTTTCTTTGTATAACAAACAATGTGCATATTTACCTGTAACTGTGTTAAGCTACCCTTTTTCGATTGTAAAGCTGGGTTCTTCAGTGTTTGCGTTAGGACATTTAATTGTGATCCTTGCAGTGCTATACTGTCATTCAGCTGAAGGTGCTCCATCATTATTTTCTCATGGATTGCCTATTTTATATAACAGTATCAATAAATTGCACTATTATCAGGTCGCATTCAATATACTCGATGATATACACTTACATTATCTGCTAGTTGATGCTCATTTAAGGAACCTAAAAATATATGAAGACAATTAAAAATATAGTTCATAGACATTGCTGTGTATAACATATGACATGAATTGGATCCTGTGACGAGAAGAAAGCTCATTTAAAGTTTTTTTTTCTTTCCCATTTCTCCTTCTCCTCGATGCGCATCTAACAGTTTCATAATTTAAATATTTCATGGTATACGTCACGTGGAGTATTGTCATAACTTTTGAAAAAAGGAATTGTGACTGAGAAGGAGACAGTAAAAGTAAACTACCGTCCCATCATCAGATTAAATTCAGCGTCGTATTTTGTACGTCTATACTTACCATCAAACTGAATTTCACCTTTGAAGATCATCTTTACTATAAGATCTGGAACAATCCCAAATAAAGGACTTGTTAAAAAATAGACGACGTCAAGGCAATCGTACAAGCATTCGCTTCGGGAGATTTTCATTAAACAAGTACTAGAGTTTGGGCTATGTTTTAATGAACGATATTAGACAAATGGTTGAAAGAAAACGATAATTTAAGATTCATAATTTTATTGAATTTCGTTCCTCGAAATCAACGTTAAATAAAAAAAACCGTGAAATCTCCTTTTCTGTGTTAAGTAGTTATTAAAAAACAAAAACTACTCGAACAAGATATTTTAAATATTTTATAAATGAACATAAAATTTACTACTTTACAATCTACAACAACACGGTTTATTTCCTTATTCTTGAATGGATACCGAGTTATAATATTGAGCATAATACCTTGGTCGAGAAAGTGCTTTTTATTGCAGGATATCATTCCATGTTCCTCGTTGTGTTTCCTTTTTATCGGGTACTGACTTGATTTGAAATCGGTGATGACAGTATCGTCCAAAATACTATTCAGAATCGGTTCATCGACTACAGTTTCAGGATTCAAGAGATCTATACTTTCGGGAATGTCCAAATTAGACGTTCCAATAATGCTGTTGACATCTTCAAGTATCGTTTCTGCTTCCTCGATTTTGATCGGCAACATGTTTCCCGAAGACCCAGGACTATCCTGTTCTTCGTTTAGATGAGCCTGCTGTTTATTGTTACTCGTTTTCGGTTCCTCTTTCGGTGGTCTATCATTTTTGTCCGTCATATCCAAATAATAGTGTAGTTTCTCCACGCCAATTTGTTTGACTTGGGTAGCTGCCGGAGGTAAATGTTGCAAGGCTTCAGCAGCCTGCATGTATTGTTTGTCTAGTACTGGTGACGTAAGACAAATTTCTGAAACGGACGATGGTAAGGCGTCGACCAAGTGTTGGATCGCGTCTTCAAGGTCCCCCACTGGGCTTCCCGAACTCGATTCCAGAGAATTTGTACCCTATAAAGATAAACAATATGTTTCTAAAAATATCATATAAACACAAATTGTTAAATTCTTTACTCTCAAACTACTAGCAGTTCAATGTTTCAAGGAATTATAATTATTTGTGAACACTAGCATTTAAATATAATTTTACTCCATTCGAGTGACTTTGTTTCCACACTAATGTTATAGTAAATTATTAAGTAATAAAGCATAATGAAAGACCATTCGAGCTTGTGAAGCTTTATTCTTGGTTAAGGACATCATTTTGAACTACCCTCCAAAAAAAATTAAGCATCTATGGACATGTATATGTTACTGAAATAGGTTCTTTACTTCATGTGCCGACCTCGAGTATGAAACCAGGTTTCATATTTCATGAAAATGCTACATTACTTTAAAATCATTTAATGAAACATATGTAATTCAAATTCTACAGACGTTACCTCTTTATTTTGCAGCATCGCCAATGTAAGTTCGGATTCCATCGCAGAGTATTTTTCCTTCATTTCTTGCACTAGTTGCATACCCTCTTCCTCCCTAAAAGAACGATTTTTACTTACATTATGTATCGCCTCTATGGTCAGAAACATACATAATACAGTGCTGGTCACTTGAATAAGAGTGCACGAAGTGTTGTTCAGAATTCTACATACTTTAAACATTTCTCAATTTTCAATTGAATACTTTTCTACCCAGAAATCTATTAACCCCCCACACACCGACAGCAATGTCTGGATCTATTCTATATCCAAATTTGCAAGAGGTTCACCTAATTTCTGAACGTATGCTTACACTTCTTTATATGCAATGCGATAAGGAGACGTATCTTGTTCCAAAGTAGATCTAGCGACAGAGATGCTAAATGCACTTAATTTTTTTTAAACATATTATTTTCCGTTTAAATAAAAATGAACAAAGTAATAGTTGCACTGTTACTCGGTCAGGTTACATTGTTACCTTATCGATTCACAATTGTAACTCGTTACTGGCGATGAAAAATTGATCAATCAGGTTCCTAGCTATGTATGTATTACCACAGACGATATATAAGAATAGACCTAACATGCAATGTAGTTTTCTGTCCCATGTTTCGGGAGCATCAGAAGCCCCCGTACCATATCAGTATTACATTCCTTGCTAGCGAAACCGAAGCAATAATGTATGTATGTATTGCTATATGCAATCACGCACATAACTGCATATAGTCATACATACATACATTATTGCTCCGGTTTCCCTAGCAAGGAATGGAATACTGATATGGTACGGGGGTTTTTGAAGCCCCCGAAGCATGGCACAGAAAATTACATTGCATGATAGGTCTATTCTTTTATTTCGTCTGTGGTTAAATATGTAATGAACGCAATGCCCTTAAATTAAATAAAACGTCAAACGCCATTTCCTTTCATATGACCCACAATTCATTAAAACAACAGATTTCGTCTTCATGTGAACAGCATTGAATTGGTTACGTGGATACAGAGTAACAACGCTTTAAACGTTGCAAAAACTTACGACACTAGTGTGTTTATGCAGAAAAAGGATACGACGGTTTGTGTGTCCTTGTCTATCTCTAAGTACCCGTGACTGCGTAAATAAATAAATTCTCCTGTTTTCGAGAGTAGCCTGTAACAAGAGTAGCCGCACTGCGCGTGGACGTACACTGCGAAGGAAAGTAATCGGAATGATTATAGCACTGTCTTTTGGGGGATCAGTGAAACGAGTTGAAAAAAAAACGTAAATCAAGACAAACTTACTTTGATGAAGGGCGATCATCGCCCACCAGAGATCGTCTTTGTGCATGAACTTGAAGGCGCTCAAACCTGAGACCTCCTCCGCTAAGTAACCAGTAACCATGGACACCCTGTGGTCACAGTAAAGGATTCTGCCGTCCACCAAGTGTCGAGTGTAGTATTCGTCTTTATTTACGTCTATCATCGGTATACCCGTGATTGGTTGTTTCATTAGCAGCCGTGCTATACCCACGAAGATAATGTCGTTGCTGGTCGAACCGAGTTCTGCAATAAAAATCGGTAAGTAATATGTATCCTTCAGAATTCGAGTATCATAGGCTTCCTTTATTGTTCGATTTTCATTTAATATTGATTTAAAGCAAGGGTTGTAAGTAACGATCCAAAGAAGCCAAAGGTAACTAACCCATCAATTTTAAATGGCGACCAAAAGTCTTTTAATTCGAAGTGATCGAGTATAATCAGCGAATATGATTTATTATCGAAAGTAGTACCCGTTAAGTATTCATTTGCAGTTGTGTTGAAAATGGGGAACTTTTATCAAGCTGTAGTGATTTTTATGACTTATGTCATAGTCCTGAATTATTATCAGTTCGTTTCTTTCATTGTTTTAGTATTGATAAATGTTGTAAATACATAACGATCGCACCATAAATCAGTCTGATTACAACAGAAATTTATATAAGAAAAAAATATAATCTAGTCAAAGTAGTAATGGAATGTATGAAAATGTTTCGATTTTGATTAAAGAAAAATTTTTGTATTATCGCATGACAATGTCGTATTGGCATGGAACAACGAGCACATGTTTTCAAACTCTATTTCTATGAAATTGAAAAAATCGACATTAACGCTTGTGACTGCGCCTACACCTTCCACAGTCGGCGGGGACGGTCTAAATTTAAATCCGCGGCTAGGGTAAATATTTGCAATACCTCGGTTTAGAACCAACGTTACCGGTCCCGAGGTGTCGTGATAAAAGAGGAACATTGGCCCGAGGAATCTGAATCGCAAGCGATTCGGTCTCGTATCGTCCAATAAAATTAACCGTTATATACTAAAAAATTGTTCTTTTCTTAAAGTATACTTCTTCTATTTAATATCCTCTGCGATATTTTATGAGGAATCATCTCAATTTTTAACGACCTTTTTAGTTATTTTTAGTAAGCGATGTCATCTATCATTCAACTGTGCATATTGACAAACAATAAAATATAGGCACCTGTTAGATATGTCCTTATAGCGGACGGTGCCCACTGGCCCAGAATCAAAATTTAGCAGTTCATTCGCTTCTTAAGCCGACGCAATAAAAAATTTCGGAACTTATCATTTCATTTAACCCTTTAATGAAAACCTGAAACACACCGTCCAGTGTGATGTATACGTCACATCTAGAACATCATATTTCTGGAGGTTTTGTTGTGAAAATACAGTGGAGGTACACGTATTGGGACCATTTTTGAGTTAACTAATCGCGAGAAATAATTTTCTTCCCCGCAAGCGATATTTCGGCGTTACAGGATTAAAAATAAATAAAAAAATTTTAAAAGTAGATTGGTTTAATATCAATATTTTCGACTTCAAAATAACAAGATTCTACAACATCACTCTCGTAATTTTGGAATAACTCTTCAAAGGTCTGGTCATGAACGGGTTAAGTAGAAGTATACATATGAAAATTTTTGATCAATTTTAAGAATTCTTTTCGATGAAGTCATCATTCACTAACAATACTGTAGGAATAGAATGCTTTAGAAGTATCTATCCGTTTATTGCAGAGATAACGAAACGATAAAAACAATACAAAATCGAGACAAAAACATACATTCGCCCGCCGTAATACACAAAGAATCGTAAATCGTAATTGTAATCATGTTTGTAAACTGTTTGTCGTGACCGTCGTATCGTGGTTTTCGTAAAACTCTCCCAACGCGCCGCAGACACGTCCTTTTATCCGCGCGTCGGCCGAATGTTCTCGACGTTCCCTTTTTGTTTTGTACGTTGGAGTCAACGGATTTTCACGCCCGCTGCTCGTTTTTGCGGACGCTGATGTTTTCTTACTTGTCCGCGGTATATAATAACATTCCGACGATCATAATACCGTCGACGCTCACGCACGCATACACACACTCATTCGTACACGTCTATCGGCATGGAAAAATTTACGAATCTCGATCAGCTGTTTTCATACTTGTTTTGAATTTAACGTACTCGTGAATTCTCCTATCCAAATAGCACAAAAACATCCTATGGACGTACGTTTCGGACGTTCTGTACATTCGGAGGATGTCCCGAAAAGGTCCATATGTCCCCGTTAGGTCCTCGTTAAGATCTTTAAATGTCCTAGGAAGGTCCTATTTACAAAGTGGAACGGCTTGAGGACGTCCTGTGTCAACATTCTCAGAACGTTTCCCGAATGTGTAAAAGTAACATTCCCTGTACGTTTTGGGAACGTTTAAAGAGATTCTAAAAACGCTATGGTAATGTCTTAAAAGACGTATAAGAAACGTTTCCCAAATGTTTAAAATTGCGGTTAGGTTCCTGTGCAAGGTGATGGAGTTAGGTTAGGTTGGTTTGTGTTTAACAAATAAAAGATTAACTTTCCTACAATTCCCGCACTTAGTAGAAATTAAATCTAGTTAGTTCCTGTTAATAAATAAAAGGTTAAATTTCCTATAAGGAATTATAATGAAAATATAGGTGTGGGGATTATGATCTCCAAGTACATTGTGTTTATTTCTATTTTCACAGAAAAACTCTGATTCTGTGTTAGTTAGAGACAGTTTAAGAAAAAACATGTTTTTTCACCTTTCTTGAGGTTTTCGCAAAAAAACCACTAGTGTCGTTACACTTCTCTATTGATTCTTTAAAGACAGACACCTTGTTCATGGGGTTCCATCACCTTGCACGGAATGACATTGGCAAAAATACTAAACGAAACCATCCAAAATTTAAGTCTTGAGAACATCCGTAGGATTTTTGGGATGGACGTTTCTAGAACATCCGAAATTTAAATGTTGAGAACATCCGTAGGACTTTTGGGATGGACGTTTCTAGAACATCCAAAATTTAAGTCTTGACTACATCCGTAGGCTTATGAACGTCCTAGGGATGGCCAAAATGGACGTAGGACATTCGAATATAAACTGGACATGAAACGGACGTCCTTAGGATGTACGGTGCTATCTGGGTATTAACGCCAGCTTCCTACAGTATTCTCAACATTTTCATATAAGTATGCAGTTTTAGGGAATTTCTTGCTATGTTTCACTGAGACTGATGATGCGAAAAGTGCTGAGGAGGCCAATAAATGCGTGGAAAAAATCTTCCGCGGGTAATAATAAATTGATGTTAATTTCTTCTTGAAAAACAAAAGAAATTTATTTTTCACCATTCGACCTGCTGAATTTTCATTCTGGACTGTTGTGTGTTGGGCATATTTGAGTTAATATCTGTGTAGGGTGTTTGTGATCAAGGACGTCGCATATCGTATTCGCTACTGTTTCTATAGTCGGCTCGTCAGTCCAAACTCTTGGGACTACAGTGAGGTATAAAATGCACTCTTACCTCGATGCTGCGACCGGCTGGAGTGCGATTTAGAATTTTTGACAGTCTCCGCGAGGGTTAGCGTCCCGGATATCTCGACCCATTTGTATTGGATGTGTTCCCTTCTGGACGCGGTACGGTGAAGCATTCGCAGATCGAAATACCGTCTCTGCTCCCGGAACGGTTTCCTTTCGCTTCTAGCAGAGGACGAAGAGGTGTCCTGGGACGATGTGGAACTGTCGTTCGTCGCGTCCGTGATCTGCGGTAGCAACAGGGATGACGACACCGCTCCTGGCATATCATCTGGCGTGAGCTTTTCAGTGAGCTCATTACGGTCCTTGGGATGGATGAAATCGTACAGAGAATGGCCCAGCATCTCTGTCTGTAACCGTCATTGTAGTTAGTATGAAATAAGTTATTTTTTCTGTTATACAGTGACTCGCAAAAGGCCTAGCGGGTAAGCATAAGAAAACGACCCCACCACTAATTTTAGTATTTATGTTTACCAAATAATGCTCTTTGCTTTAAAAACAATTGTGAGTAAATTCAAATTTCTATCCCCTCTCGTAAGGGTGATATGGGGCTAACGACTTTAAACTTTACAATTGTTTTTCTCAACAACTAGTTAAGATATTTGAATGCTTCGAAATGTAGACGGTAGGTAGTTACTTTATAGCTCTAGATGATGTATATTTTTCGAAATTATAAATCAATTATTAAGGGTGAAAATAAGGGAATTCATTTTTTGAGGGTGGTTTTTGCAAACAACCCATTGAGTGACACCTACACAAAAATTAGGAATAACGCGTCACTACTTAGCTATTATCTGTATAAGCTGCAAGAGGGTCGGATTGGTGGAACATATTTAAAAGAATAATAATAAAACGGGTATAATATCTCTTCGGAGATTATAGTAAACGGGCCGCATGAATATAATGATAAATTTATTCCGAATAGAATGATACAGGTAAAGACAATGAGGATACATAAATGGGAATTGTTTAAAAATCGTTACAACTAATTATTGTTTCGAAATTATGTGAACGAATCTGTGAGTCACTGCATAGTGAATTTTCTTGTTTCGACATTTATTGTAATAGTAAATAAATTTCTAGCTTACTAAAAGTTAAAAAATATTTCATTTTTACGTATTTTTTGGCATACGCGGCGTTGTAAGACAATTACTGACAAACGGCTCGACACTCAACATATTAAACATTGTCACCGCGGAAAGCTACGTATTTGGGCTGACTTTCCGTACACGTATAATTTAACTAGTGACCGACGTGGCGTGAACGGAAAGTCCTGTGTGGAATCACACAGTGAATATGTCAACTACAGATCGATCGTCTTATGCCGCGTATCCATCTGAGCATGCGGGCCGCATGAGCACCGAACGTGCGCGCGACGTGCTCGGGCGATGCTCGGGGACGCACAGGCCGAAAACCCCGTACCTATCTGAGCATGCGGCCCGAATGAACAAGGGATAAGTGGAGGATGCATGCCATAGACATATACAGGGTGTAACAAAAATGTTGTCCGACCCGGAAATGGGGCACTCGGGGGGTGAATTGGAACAAGTTTTTCCTTAGCAACAATGTAATTTGAGGCTTGGTTACCCAGATATTAACGAAAAACCCCTACCAATCAGAGCGCCAGTTTGCCAGCCGAGTTCTCGCGGTAACACTGCCTACCAGTCGCAGCGCGTAGCCACCGCTACCGCGGGAACTCGGCTGGTAAACTCGCGCTCTGATTGGTCAGGGATTTTCGTTAATATCTCGGTAACGAAGCCTCAGATTACATTGTTGCTAAGGAAAAACTTGTTTCAATTCACCCCCCGAGTGCCCCTTTCCGGGTCGGACAATATTTTTGTTACACCCTGTGTAGACGGAGCATAAGCTACCACTTTGGGCGAGGAGACCGTAGGATTGGAGGAGAAAAGACAGCGGTCGTTAGATATACGTCGGGTAGCTTCGGATGCATTCGGCTCGATTCGGCTCGTTATTATATTCGGCTGGTGGGCTGTGTGCCGTACTATTATTTAATGCTTTATAATATTTATTAATTTTGTTAAATACATATATCTATGCAAACTACATGACATACGGAATTTTTAACGTATAATAAGTATATTCTTTTCATCTCTCATAGCATACATGTATGTAACGTGATTGTATACCCGAATAGCACCGAAAAGGAACGAAGTTACCCGATTTATAACTAACCATCCCCTTACCGCGAATCTAACTCCCCCGCTCAGTTCATGCTCCGTCTATATATGTCTATGAGGCACGCCGAAGAAGCGACTGTGCGGCGCTGAAGTGGATGGCGAAGCGAACAAAAACACCATTCGGCCGAGCTGTTCGCCCAATCCAGTCGTTGTCGGTACATCAAAGTGTACACAGAATGTGTTAGGTCTGTGAAGCTCGGGACTGACCGCGGTCATGGTGAGCGTTCCGTTGCCAACCCTACGCCCGAGGGTCACCGGGGGTTTTCAGTGGGTGAAACCCCACATTGGCCGTCACCACCCCCAGCGGAGGCGGTGCACCTTTTCAAGGTTTTCCCCCCGTAAAAAAAAAAGAAAAAAAAAACAGAAGTCATGGTTAGAGATATGTACTTACAAGGGAAGGATCCCAATTGTACCACTTCGATTTTATCAAAATTTTGTAGGCTGATAGAATAAGGTAAACCAACCAGTGAATGACCGAATTGTTGCATTTATGGACGTTTGAGATTAATACTTAAATGTATTTAGTTATAACAACAAAACAAGTGTTGAAATTGCAATTACATATATTTTTCTTGAAATTTTTATAAAAATAATTACTTACACTTAAAGTAATTTTTAAATAATTATTTATAAAGTGCAAAACGTGTGAAAGTCCAGTACATTACTGCTACGTTTCCAAAATATATTTAATAAGAATTGTACTTATTAATGTTTACTTAATACACTGAATTAAAAATATGGGATATTAAAGGTGGAACTACACTTCATTTATAAACATTTAATACTTTTTAAATTTATAGTTTACATTTCTTGTTTAATGGTCATTCACTGGTAAGCAGTCAATTTCTGGTTGCTTTACTCTACATATTTTTAACGATAGTTGTGATATATTAGTCGTAGTTACTTCATAGTTTTGAAAGTATAATTAATTCAAGTTACATACCTAGTTATATGTGTACTATGAGTATACATATATGTCTGTTTGTGAAAATCCGCGATGGTAAAGTGACTTGTTGCGTGAAAATTAATTACTACAGACAAATTAATTAACTTTTTACAATAATATCACAAACAGACACCTATATTCATAGTACATATATGTATAACTAAGTATGTGACTTTAATTAATTATATCTTCAAAACTATGAAATAACTACGGCTAATATTTCACACAATATCATTAGAAATATGTATTGTATCATCCTACAAAAGATCGATTAAATCAAAGTGGTAATTAGGGACCTTCCCTTGTTAGCTAATGATAGTGTATAGTATTACATACATTACTACAGAAGAAAAATAAGAGTGAGAAGCGTTGATGGATCAAGAAAAATGATAGAAAATACACCAACAGTAGTAGCACAAGTATTTCTAAAAACTTATTTTTTTGAATATTTCTTCCTACCGATATATGGAAAACTAACAACGACATAAGATTTGTCTAAACTTTTTTTTCGATATCTTTCGTAGTTTACGAGGTAATAGCAAATAAGTAAAAGGGACGTTTCGAACAAACGGGTGGTTTCTCCCTTATATTGGGATTTTGTTCAGTTTTTTAAGTCAAATACTTCACAGTTCGACATACGAAAATTCTCTTCCCGCTTAAGGGATGAATACTTCAATATTATATCAGGGACTGTTATACATATGTATAAACCAGGAAGTGTTTATAAATACATCCTCATTATATTTGAAACAGTACCACGTATAACATTTGATCATCTACCGATAACAATAGACTAAAGAGAATCGAAGGGAAGCGGTAAAGGAGTAACACTTCGACGCTGACAACGACGAGCAAAAAAATGTCCATCCTATCGATCTAAGTACTTGGTTTCGTAGGAACGGTGGCGCTCCAGATTCGAGCATAACGATAATTCGACACTCGAGCGTAACGAACCTGTTCGTCGGCCGAGTTTCCCGTCTTGGGGGTGTAAGGATACTTGGGGGGGGGGGCAACGATAGAGCAGAAATAAAGAGACCAAGAGAATGGAGGCGAAGGGTGGACAGTTGTTTGCGTGGGATCTCCAAGTTTTTTAAGGAGATACTCACAATCAGACTGTATTGTTCTCAAGGAGAAACTCCCCGCGGTGAAAACGAGCCCCGTCGCCGATGTGGTGCACCGTAGTCACGATTAAATCGCGAAGAGGGATCGCGATGCAGAAGGAAATCGCTAGAGGAACGTGGACATTTCTCATCTGGATGGAACGTGTGGACTTTTTTTAGGATCGATTATACAATTCGACCTGTCGAAAGACTGTGGGCGAAGTTTAGACTAGTTACAGGGTAGAAGGGTAAGATATCTGATACAATAAGTAATTCCAAATAATCGAATAAACAGAGAAAATCTGCTTAATATAACTTCTCCAGATATAATTCCATAAAATTTACTACGCATGGAACTTTGGCGGCATCTACAGTGATTCTCGTTGACAATTCGAGGAGAATACCCTGAACAAACAATTTTATTCATTTGTTTTCTAGTTATTTACACTAAAATATTTATACTAATAACAACTTAAACAATATTTTATACCACTTTAAAGCTTTTGACATTCGAGTTAATTTGATATTTGAGTTAACCCCTGCACAGCTTCCGAATGAAAAAGATTTAACGGTGACTCAGAGTCTGTTCATTTCTATAAAATAAGTACTATATTTGAGGGGGTTTTCTGGTTTGGAAGCGTATACAGGTTGTCCCACCTAATATGAGCACCTTCAATATCTCTATTCCAAAGATCATATTTTTCGATATTTCAAGATCATCGGTGTTTTTTTTTTAGCGGGACTACATATTTTTATCAGTGTAGCGTAATAGTTAAAATCAAGACCAATCCAATCACTTATAATAGTGTGACCTTCATGTGACCTTGAGTACAAAACATCCACGAATGTATGAGAGTATATTTGTGCAAAAATGTGACGAAGTTAATTGACATCACTTTGAGCATTTATTAAAATAAATTTTCTGCAAATGAAAAGCAAGTGAGATACTAAATGTGCGCACGTTAGGTGGGTCATCCTAGATATTAGGGGTATTGTAATAATTTTTTCTAAAAGAAACAAACTGTTTGCCATTCAAACGTACATACGTCATTAAAAGTTTGATAAATGTACTTAGTAACATATATACATTTTAATGACACACAATA